CTCTACACACACACACACACACACACACACACACACACACACACACACACACACAAACACACACACACACACAAACACACACACACACACAATTTGATATCACCTCACAATTTGCCGCGTTGTTTTGACATGCCACAACAGAGGACGATTGGCTGCCTGCTGATTTCTCGGAAGCGCTGGTGTTCTCGCGGCAGGGCCTTGAGCGGCTGCATTCGACCATTGCGGGCCTGCAGGAGGAGAAGACGAAGCAGCGCCAGGTGTTTAAGGAGATTCGGTCCACACAGGCGCGCCTGCACCGGGAGCTGAAGGAGAAGGAGGCCGAGAACAAAGAGTACAAGCGCAAATGCGATGAGATGCAGCACCTCAAGTTTGGGCGCATTGTTGACTTGGAGGAATTGGACGCCAGTGGCAGCGGCAACCGCCAAGCAGAGCAACTCAAGGTGCGATTTTGACGTTTGTGTGTGCGTGAGTGTGTGAGTGTGTGTCTGTGTGTCTGTGTGTGTGTGAGTGCGTGTGTCTGTTTATGTGTGTGAGTGCGTGTGTCTGTTTATGTGTGTGTATGTGTGTTTGTTTGCGTGTTTACGTTTTTCTGTTTGCGTGTGTGCCTGCGTCGCTGAACTGCGTCCACCAACACATCACAGAGCTCACTTTTTTTTGTGTGTGTGCTTGCCTTGGCGCAGGAAACACAAGCCGAGATTGAGTTTGAGCAAGAGAAGGAGACGCGCGACCTTGACCTTGAAATCTCTCGCCTGCGCAGCGAGCTGTCGATGCTGACGCGCCAGAACACGGCCGTACTCTCTGATCTGACGGATCTCAAGCGGGACCGCTCTGAGCTTGAGAAGCAGCTGGACAGCGGCAAGCAGCTGCTGCACACGTCCGCCGCAGAGGAGGTGGCGGCGCACACGCGCGAGGAGGTGAAGCGCTTGAAGCGGCTGGCCAACATGCAGCAGGAGCAAATCTCAAGTCTGCACTCGGAGCTGCAGCAACTCATCCGTAAGGGCGGGCATGTTGCCCCGCCTCAAAAGTCTTCAAACGTCGCCCCTTTGCCGCCGCTGTGACCGAAAACACGAGGAGGGGACGTGTGAATGTGGAAACACACCTGGTTTGGGTTTGAGTAGTTGCCCTTGTGTGTGTGTGGGTGTGGGTGTGTGTGTGTGGGTGGGTGGGTGTGCGCTTTTGATGTTTTTTTTTTTTTTGTGTGTGTGTGTGCTTCGTGCTCAAGCTGTAGTGAGCTTGCATGCAAGAAAGCAAGAAGAAGTAAACAAGAAGTGACGCAAGTCTCATATGCACACATGCTGTTTCATCACAACGGAAGCGTTGGTGTTGTCAAGAGAGGTGTTTATGGTGACGGTGGATTGACTGGTCAGGAAGAAGATGAAGAAGACAGAAGAAGAAGAAACAAAAAAGCACGAGGCAGAAAAGACATCACGCCATGATGTGTGATGAGACGCTTGTCGCGTTCATGGAGCGTGCAGATGACAGGGGCAAAGGCGAAAAGCAAAACCACCACACTCACTCGCACACAAAGCAGAGCGGCTGGGAGGCAAGCAACAAAGGAACATACACATGGTCACAATCAGAGGAGGGCGAGCCCAAACGCCACGAGTGCGGAGACACCGACGGTGGCATATCCCGTCTTGTACAGGTCAGGCAGCGTCAGACCCTTGGCAACATCCCACACCTGCATACCGAAGGGGGAGGGGAGGTGTGAGACAAAGTGAGAAAGTGGTGTGTGTGTGTGTGTGTGTGTGTGTGTGTGTGTG